TGTTAACAGTTCACTGGTGTCAGCGCTGAGACTTGCCAGCACCCTCCAGGGAAGCAAGTGAAAGATACCTTTATATCGCTTCTTAATTGTCTGCCCACGCCATCCGCCTGCTCGCTGCCCCTTCCTCCACAGGTGTCACTGTTCTCAGACCGAGCGGGGCGGGGGGGGGGGGCACTGCAGACAAGGTGCGTCCTCACACACCCGTTGAGTGGATGACTGAACAGGTCCTGGTTACAAGCCACCCGGGGGCCTTCTCAAAACCCTTAGGCCGGGCGGCCAAGGCAAAGGGCCAAGTGAGCCCCCAGAACTCCCCTGACCGTCCCAGAACGGAGGGAGGTCACGGTCAGGGACTCCAAGGCACCGTGGACACACGGAGGCCTCGAGCTGGGGCGGGCATCTAGAGCTCACCCACGAAGTACGGCCGAACCCGGCCTCTCGCACCAGTTTTGGATGTGATGTGTGGCCGTGCCAAGTGCCGGGCGAGCTTGTCGGCGTCCCGCCCCGGGAGGCGCTGGGTGAGCCCCGGGACCGAGCCACCTTCCCTCTGAAGTCTGATGAAGAAGACAGGCCGTACCCTCCGGGCCCTGGGGCTCTGGCCCCCCGCAGGCCGCACCTTGAGCTGTCCTCAGCCTCCCAGTTGGGCAACAGCGCGGGCAGGTGGGAGATGCCAACGTTCTGGCCCTAGCGCCAGGGGCCCAGTGGTGGCCAGGCCCAGGACAGAGCCCCTGAGCTCGGGTGACAACACAGCAAAGCGACACTCCCCGAGCTCTGAGCCCGCAGGAGTCTCTGGGTGCTTCACGAAGACGTGGGGCTCCAGGGCCGACCCCGGACCGTGAGCTCCCCAGGCGGCGACGGGGCCCGGGACGTGACGGGAGGCAGGCGATCGCCACAGGTGAGTCAGGGTTCACACCTTGACTGCGCCTGGCTGCCCGCTCCCCCCAACATTCCTCCACCTGGGCGTCACCGGGGTGCAACCCGCCTGTCCGGGAAGCAGCGTGCCCCTGGGCGAGCCCTCGAGCAGGGCCTGAGACGGTCGCACAAAATCGCAGCCCACGCCCCGAGAGGCGGCCTGGCTTCTGCCGGACCTCGAGGGCTGAGCGTCGACGGGTTGTGAAATGTCGCCAAGTTCCGAGACTCAAAAGATCCAGTGTTCTCCGGGCATTCAGAGCCCCAGCTCTGGGTGGGGACGAGGGACGGAGAGCCCGAGGACACGCGACGAGTCACGCACCCGCCCGCCCTGACACTCCTCGAACGCCTGTGAGTCAGCAGTGAGGTTCCCGTTAGTCCCCCCCGCTGTGCTCTTCGGGAGCTGGGGCGCAGCATCCTCTGCCTACGAGAGGGTGCCCACTGTCCTTGCCTCCCTGGCACAGGGACGAGGAAAGCAACCGGCACCCACCCTCAGCGCACCCCATTCAACGCAACCTGCTTCTGCAGCGGGTGGGCTGCCCCCACCTTTGTGCACGGGAGCCCCAGAGCAGAGGCAAACCCCGAAGTCCCCTCCCCTGCCCCCCTCCCCCCTCACTGTCACCCAACCCAGAGCCCGTGGGCCGCCGGCTCCCACCGCACACGGGGACACCCCAGCACACCCCACAGAAGGCAAAGGGCATGGACAGGCACGAGACAAAGGCAGTGCCTGGTCCCGCCGCCACTCGTGACCATCCTCTGAGGCCCAGCACTGTGGGGCGTCGCCCGCCAAAATCCCCGCGGTCATCGCGGCCCTCATACTTACAGAGAACGAGGGGCCCAGGCCCCCGGGCCCTCACCGGGAGAGGAGTGACGCCATTGGGCAGTGCAGACGGCAGCTTCCGCGCTCGGCCCCTACCCGTGCGCAGGCAAGCGCCTCGCGGACCTCCATTCACTCCCTGGCAGGGGCTCCCGCCATCAACGCACAGATGGCAGTTGATCAAAGGGACAATCAACGTGTGACACAGGTGATCTGACTGTTTTTTCTGCAGAGCCGGGGTGAGACAGCCCCGCCCCTGTGGGGAGCAGGGAGTCCAACGCCGTCAGAAATGGGAGTTCTCCCCACATCTTCTCTCTTCACCTCGGCCCTCTGGCGCGGTCCCTTGATGGCGATGGCGGAGGCGGATTTGTGGAGCAAGAGGCAATGTGACCAGATGGGTGTACCCCAGGCTTTTCTACCAGACCATGTACGTAATCAAGGTTTAAAAGAAGTCCAGGCAGGCCTTGGTATTTGTCTTTGGCAGACAGAAGGGTCCATTTCTCCAGCTACTCCCACACCACTGCCTGCCACTTGGCTAAGAGATAGCGGCGGGTTTATCTGGGTGCAGTCGTTACTTGTTCCATATTAAACAATTAAGATTAGAAAGGGTTACACAACACGTGCGACAGCTACCATCCACAGAGGCTACGGGACCCTGGACTCCGCGGGCGGCCAAGGCCGGGCTGGGAGCGGTGCTTCCCAGAACGCGTAGCGTTCGGAGCCGTTGGACCACACAGGCGGCAGGCGGCGGGGACAGCGCGGCTGACTGCTGGGGCTGGTCCTCAGGCCGAGGTGCAGAAGCAGACAACAGAGCCACACCGAGGACGGGTCGGCCAATGCACCCGCTGCGCGGGACTTGCCGCACGGGGTCGCTGCGCGCACGCAGCCGGGCGCGGGCACAGGCGGCGCAGTGCACAGTGCGCAGCGTGGGAAACCGCTCAGCCGGTCCGCCAACCGGCGTGTAGTATTGGACAACAGAGCCACACCGCGGATGGCTCCGCCGCTGCACTCCCGTCGGTGCCTGGCACCTGCTGCGCAGGGCTTGCTGCACGCAGGGAGTCGCTGCGCGCATGCGGCTGCTGCGCGCACGCGGCCGCTGCGCGCACGCGGCCGGGCGCGAGCACCGGCGGCACAGTGCACAGCGCGCAGCATACGAGACCTCTTAGCCGGTCTGCGGACTAGCGCGCAGAAATGGACAATAAAAGAATGCCGCGGACAGGTCAGTGGATGAACTTGCGAGGGTGCCCCGCAAGTTCTGCCGCACAAGACTTGCCGCGCGCATGGCGCCGCTGCGCGCACCGGGCCCGGCGCGTTCACAGGCGGCGCAGTGCGCATTGTGGTAGACAGCTCAGCTGGTCCGCCGCCGGCGCGTAGAAGCGGTCAACAGAGCCACACAGCGGATGCGTCGGCTACTGCACCCATGTCGGTGCCGGCACCTGCCGCGTTCCCAGGACTTGCCGCGCGCACACGATCGCTAGGCGCATGCGCACACAGCAGAGCACAGGCACCGACAGCGCAGCGCACGGTGCGCAGTGTGGAAGTCAGCTCAGCTGGTCCACCGGCCAGTAGGCAAAAGCGGACAACAGACCCACGCCGCGGACAGGTAGGCGGATGCATCTACAAGGGTGCCCAGCCCTTGCTGCATGGACTTGCCGCCCGCAGCTGGGTGCGGGCACAGGCGGCGCAGTGCACAGTGCACGGCATGGGCGACCGCTCAGCTGGTCCGCTGGCCGTTGCGCAGAAGCGGGGACATCGCGGACATGGCGGCAGCTGCGCCAGCTTCAGTGCCGGCCCTTGCTGCGCTTCCGGGACTTGCCGCTCGCACGGGGTCGCTGCGCGCACGCAGCCGCGCGCGCGCGGCTCAAGCGGCACAGGCTGCGCAGTGCATAGCGCACAGCGTGGGAGACTGCGCGCTGGTCCGCAGACTGGCGTGCAGGATTGGACAGCGGAGCCACACACCGCGAACGGATTGGCTGGTGGATCTGCGAGGGACTTGCCGCACGGGGTCGCTGCGCGCACGCAGCTGGGCACTGGCGCAGGCGGCCCAGAGTACAGTGCAGCGCCTGTAGCGTGGGAGACCGCTCAGCTGATACGCTGACGCACAGCTCCGCCTGGATGGACCCCGGAGCCTGGCTCGTGACACTTGGTCCTCGAGTCCGTGGCCCCCGTGACACAGCCTAGTATATTCCAACATGGAGAAGCGGGGACTCCATCTAGCAAGGCTGGGATACCGCCCTGCCTCCCAAATACGCCCAATGGGACACACCCCCAACACCCCGCTACAGCAGGGCCCCAGCTTCCCTGCCCTGGGGCCACACTTCTCCAATTCAAGGGGGAGGCACTTTTGGAATCCCAGGGCCAAGCCTGGTGTGATGGGTCGTGTTCCAAGGCCCCAGAGGGCCCCTCCATTGTTCTGACCCCAGATCCCTGGTTCTCGTGGAAATCCAAAGAACCTCCTGCACCCTCCATTGTCCTGTCTTCCGCTAAAAGCCCCCTCCACCCTGATGGGCAAGGACACACACACCGGCCACTCACAGAACCCCAGAGTTCCCCCCACCCACCTGTGAAGCCATACAGAACGCTGCACCAGGGGGAAATCTCAGGCCCACCAGACCAGTCAGACACGGTTCAGGGCTCCATCCCTCTCCCTACCTGCCTCAGAGGACCGTGGGACCCCAAAGCCAGCCAGTTCTGGTTGTCCAGGGTCGTCTTTGTCCGACATCCCTCCCCAAAAATGTGAGAGCGAGAACAGCAAGGTAGAGACTGGGTCTCAGAGCCACAGGCAGAAAGCCATTGGACATCACGGGCAAAAAAGAGCCATTTAAAATGACAGTCAGCAAGAAAAGTAGACGCGGCATATGGGATCTCTGCTACCTGCTAGTCACAACCTATACATATACATACACACACGCGCGAGTGCGTGCGTGCACAGATGCACAACCCTGCAGCGCATGAAGGAAAACAGAAGGCTGGAGGTGTTGGGTGACTTGCACAGGTGACAGGATGGGTGCACAGAGGCGACACCCCTCCCCATGGGGGGCACGGCAGGAAGGGCTGGAAGTTGTCGATGGCAGCAAGGACAGTAAGCGCCCAGGGGGGCGGTGAATGCGGAAACTCAGACCCCGCCTCACGTTGAGAGGCGCGAAGGGAGTGGGGGGCCGTGTTCAAAGGCACACGGAAGCTGCCTGCGGGCGCCCCGAGGACCAGCAGCCAGGCCCCCTGGGGCAGGCCCCCTAACCGGCCACACCAGGAGGGCGAAGCAATAGCAGGTACTCACCCTGAGGAGGAGGGGCTCTGGGAGACCAGGCCCATGTTCTTTTAATACTTAGTTTCCATCAGATGCAAGCAGACTGGAGGCAGGCTCTGAGAGCAGCCATGAGCCAAGTGTCCACCCCAAAACGAAGGGCAGCAAGCCTCCCTCGGTTTGTGGGGCGGGTCACCACGAGCCTGGCCTGCTCCTGGCCACAGAGAGGCTGCAAGAGGGACCCAAGGCACGGCGTCCACCCCTGGGAGCCGAGGAGAAGTCCAAGTGCAGACAGAGGGACGTGCCTCAGGTCCCAGAGCCCGCTGTCGGTGGGGGAGAACCCAGCCTCCCTCTCGGCCTCCCGCAGCCTCCAGGGTAAGAAGAGGGGCTTGCCGGCCGGGAGGGCCCCCTCTGCCACGGGGCGCTGGAGGAATCCCAGGGCTCCGGGCTCCCAGCGGCCGGTTCAGGATGTGGGAGAGCGAGAGGGAAGACACAGGAAGAGGCCAGGAAGGGATCCAGAAGGCCCGGCCCCGGGCCGAGGGCCTGCCCTGCCTCCCCTCCCCCCGCTCCCCCAGGCCTGCACACTCAAATAAACACTCGCAGGAGTTCCTGCCTGCCCGAGGTTCTGCTTTCTGGGTCAGCCGGACACAGGCGCACAGAAAAAATGTTAAAAATGAATAAATGCTGGAAAAACTGGAGAGAGGAAACTGCAGAAAAAACACTAAAACAGAAACCAGTATCTCCAAAAAGAGATTAAAAAAAAATAAACAGTGCATCTATGAAACGGGAATATTACACCATTAAAATAGGGATAATCATTGTGGGTGATGTTTCGTCATGGTAGGTGCACTGCCTACGACCCGAGTCCCAGTCGGGTGGGGGTGGTGCGGGGGAGGGGGCGGTGGAGCCCCTGGGGGGGGGGTGGGGGGGTGGGGGGGGTGGGCGGGCAGATAGGAAATCTCTCTCTTTTCCACTCAGTGTTTTGTAGGGAATGTAAAGCCGTTCTGAAGAAATAAAGTCAGTTTAAAGAGACCAAAAGAAACAAAGAGGTCCTTAGGAATGAAAAATGAAGATAGAAAGATCTGCTGGAAAAGTCAGAGGGTCAAGTTGCTTTGCTCCCCAACCCCGAACGCCACCACAGAGACACGACGGGAGCTGGAGACGCCGTCCAGGCCGAGGATCGGCGAAGAACAGCCGTTCTCCTGAGAGAGAACAAGTACGTGGAAGAAAGGAAATGAAGGAATTAACTCAAAAATCGGTCCCACCCCCAGGGTCTCTGTGCTCCCAGTCTGAAGGGGCCCTGGGCGTGCCGGCAGGGTGGACGAGGGCCTCAGCAAGCCTCCTCATCTTCGAGAGATTCCCAGACAAAGACACAAAGAGAAGAGCCTACCAGCTTCCGGACGTGGAAAAGGGGGGAAAACAAGCCAACAGCGACGGGGGGAAATGTTCATACGACAAACCAAGAATCCGATGTGCTGCCCTCCCCACCGTGGGCTGCCCCAAGGGAACCACAGCCTTCGAGTTTCCGAGGGAAACCTGTGGCCAGTGAGACGTGCGCTCTTGGACAAACTCTGAGCTGTGAACGGAGACCAGGGACATTTGCAGACATGCGAGGTCTCCAAAAAATCTGCACGCACCTCTTTTTTGGAAGTCACGATGGAATGCACACCCTCACATGCTGGAAAGAAACCAGGAGGGAGGGGTCCGAGAGCAGAGCACAGGGCAGCTCCCCGGGATGATGGGCAGGGAGGGTGCCGGGTGGCCAGGATGGAGTCTGGGGGCAACCAGGCCCCGGCGAGAGATCGCTCCCCGGAGATAAAACTGGCCCCACACCGAGGGTGTGTGTGAAAGGACATTTGCACAACCGTGTCAGTTTGGAGTGGGGGCGGGGAGCGATAAGTACGTAAACCACAAAGCAGATGCCAGAGCAACTCCCGGAGAAAACAAAATGTCCTGCGAGACGGACAGAGATACCCCAGGCAAGTCCAGGGCCCGGCCAGGAGCGGCGTTCCGGGGGCCGCGGTCTGTGCCGCCCGAGCCTGAGCCACCAGAAGAGATGAGGCGGAGAGGGAAGTTCAAGTGTAGAGTGCACACAGGACCTCCCCAGCAGGGAGCTGGGGGCTGGGAGGGTGGGGGTGGGGGAGGGAACAGGTGGGGAGGAGCTGCAATTCAATACGCAGACATCTGCTTAGAAATATGAAGGCAAAGGCAGGAAAACCCAACTGATAAGCCTGCTCACTTCTGGGGAACGATTGGACTCTTCACGCACAGATGTCACTCAGGGAAAAAAAATCAAACCAAATGTAAAAACAGCCTGTGCTGGGAGTGGAGAGTTACACCACTGGGGGACCCTTCCCATGGACAGGACGTGTCTGGCGAGGCTCCCCCGGGGCCAGCAGGAGATGGGGCCCCCCTGAAGGGACAGCCGGCTACAGGGCCAGGGGCTCTGCCTGCCTGTCCCCCCCGCCAAGGTGCCATCACCTCCAGGAGATGCTGGCCCAGGCCTCAGTCCCATTTCTCTAGAAACAGCGGGAGGGTGTTCCATGAGATCCACCCAGTTCTTTGGAAGAGAGAAGGGCATTCTAGAAAGAGCAAGGAGGAGACTCTCAGGCCACACATCCGCCCCCTGTGCTGGCCACACAGAACACCTAGAAGACCCTGGAGGCCGGCCAGCACCCCCTCCCCCGGGTGGGAGCAGCCCTTCCCAGCAGGCGCCCAGGTTCGGGGAGGGGCGTGGTCCCTGGGCCAGGGGACACGCCCTCCACGCCTGAGGCAACTGCTGGAGCTTTTGAATTTCAAAGCTCCTTGGTTCCTAGTGGCTGTTGGTCACTGCGGGTTTCCTGGGGCAGGGAACCCTGAAATTATTGCTCCTATTAGATACGCGGTGTTATAAAATGTTTATACTGAAGAGAGTGCTCGTGCTCCACTCACAAAGGGCTGGAAGAAACCACTGCCCAGACACTCTCGGGGATGAAAGTTAAAAAAACAAATCATAAACCAGAGGCCCGGCTCGTCGGAGAAGCCAGGGTGCGCAGGGTCCCTGCGCTCCAAGGGCACCGCGAGAGGAACCCGGCAGCTGGCGGCCAGTGGCCCCGGAGGCCCTTGCTGTGGATAGCCACCTGACCGGATGAGGGAGAAGGGGTCTCAGGCAACCCTTGGGGGTCTCGGCCTTCGGCGGCCCCCATGGGATTCCGGAAGTGACACGCAGGACAGCTCACAGAGGGGGCCCGATGGCCGCGGTCCACCATGCGTTCTACTTACAGAGAAATTCCGCGGGAGGAGCCGGGCACGCGCCAGGCTCTTTCTGTGCCGACTGCGTCGTGAGCCGCGTCCCCAGGTGAGGTTGTACCTGCTGGTGCCCAGGCCTGTTGACCTGGCACAAGAACCCGGTCAGGACTTCAGAGGGCTGCCGGGCTGCCCACCTGTGTGCAGAAGCACTTCCCACAGTCCCCCTCCCCCACCAGGGGCACGGCCCACCGGCTGGGACCAGCAGTGCCCACGCACCTCAGGCCCAGCTAGAACAAGGTCTCCGGACACTCAGACACCAGCCGACCTCGGGGTCCTAGAGACAAAACCCCCAGCCCCACCACCGACAGGGAGGCCCCAGCCTCTGCGCAGCCCGTGCTGCAGCCTGGCTGAGCCTGAGCCTGAGCATTGCTGGCTCCTGGTCTCAAGGGACCAACTTTTGACACTTGTTCTTCACCGCCGGCTGGCCCGGATGGGTGCACAGCCAGGGGAGGCGGACATCCCACCACCCACCTCTGCTCCTGCAGCCCCCGCCTGCAGGGCGCTCCGGCTGTCTGCTGCCTGCAGGCAGGGAAAGAACTCACAGGCATGGCGGGGCGGGGGGGGGGCAGGGGGGCTGCTCAGACCCTCAGCCCGAGAGGCTTTGTGTGGCTGACCCGAGCAGAGCACCAGGAGACAAAAATACTGAAAGCGGAGTTCTCTTTCTGGCGGACCTGGCAGATTAATAGAAAGCAGGGCACTCGAGCAGCTCAAAGCCAGGGCTGAACGTGCCAGGAGCGGCGTCTCCCCGCTCTCTCGAGGAGCCACGCACGGTGCGGGGGGGTTGGGGGGGAGCCCCGGGGGGTGTGGTGCACACAACTCCAAGAGCATCTCACCTTCCCGACCCACTTTAACCCGTGACTCCCCCTTTCCTGACGAGCTGAGCTGGCTCGCTCGGGCCCCTGGAGCTAGCACATGGCAGAGAGCAGAGTCCCTCCAAGGCAGTGTGCGTGTGCACTGGTCAGCGCTGGCCACTGTCCTGGGCCAAGAGGGGGAGTACATTCCCCCTGGACCCCACTCCCGCTGTGGGTGCTGAATCACCCAATCCCCGACCCAAAGAAGAGCCTCAGATTCAGGATCTTGACTCTCCAGGGACCCCTCCCCCAAACCCACAAGAAACTTGGCGGCTGAACATATAGGAAGGACATTCTCTCTTCCCGGTGGCATCCAGTCGGGACGAGCCGCCGTCACCCACCCCACGGGTCCCAGGCGGGAACCCCACAGCCAGACCCCGACTTCGGGGGCAAGGAAGGCGTCTCCACCCGACACCCCATCTGCACGTGTGGGCAGGGCAGCGCAGAGGACAGCGGGGCTCCTCTGACACCCGGCCGGTCCTTTCCAGCCCAGAGCAGGGAGTCACACACTCGGTCCCACCTCTGAGATGACTTCTGTTGCCCCCGGCACATGGCTGCTCTTGTCGCCGTCTCCAAGGACAGCCATGGCGTCTTCCCTTCCATTACTCAAGGAGGGACGTCAGCCTTGCCAGCAGCTGGTGGCTTTAAGCTTCGCCCGCTTGCCTCTCCTCCGGGTTAACAGGCCCCAGGGTCACTGGGAGCGCGGACAGAAAAGCCCGAGGCTCAGAGAGCAGCTCAGAAGCAGCTCTGAGCCCGGGCGGGCGGGCGGGCGGGCAGGGGGGCGGCAGCCCCTCAGGAGAAGGCAGGGGACAGAGACGGCGCCCCAGAAATGTGCAGCTGAAACACGAACACAAATCACACACCAGCCAGGGCCGGAATGGATGAGCTCGGTCACACGCCCATCGGCCCCGACCCTGGGGAAGGCCCCCGGGCCCCCCAGAGCCCCTGTTTGTCGAGCCGCACCTACCACGTGGCTTGACTTGTCTTCGTCTCTCCCATGCTCGCCCGTACTTCTGAGGGTTAGGGTTAGCGGAAAAAAAGGGTAAGTGGGAAAAAAAAAAGGGACAAGTTTAAAGAAAAAAATCTCCGCCAGCAGGAAGAGTTTTATTTACATTTTGGACATAAGATGGGTGCCTCAGATGAAAAGCAAAGCAAATATCTTCTCCTCGCGAGCCCATGCAATTTCAGGGTGGTGAGACGGACACAGGGTTTGTCTCCCACAAGCTGCAGACAGGCAGGCCACCTCCCCAGGACACAGGACAGAAGTCCCTGCGCCAGCGCTGAGTTCTGGGGGCTCGCTCGCACACCCCCGTCTCACGCCGGTGTCTCTTCTGCTGCAGTGAGGGGTCGCGCAGAATCCCGAGGACTTGTGGTCTTCTCATGACACGGCCTTTAAAGCACGGGGTCTCATGGGGTACGCCACCCCCACACCTCTCCAGCTCCAGGACAACTGGACGTCTGTTCAAGCAGGAATCTGGTCTCTAGACGCCGTGAGGTCTCGAAGCAGCTGGACCGTC